ATAGAATAGAATAGAATAGAATAGAATAGAATAGAATAGAATAGAATAGAATAGAATAACAGAGTTGGAAGGGACCTTGGAGGTCTTCTAGTCCAACCCCCTGCTTAGGCAGGAAACCCTGCACCACTTCAGACAAATGGTTATCCAACATCTTCTTAAAAACTTCCAGTGTTGGAGCATTCACAGCTTCTGGAGGCAAGTTGTTCCACTGATTAATTGTTCTAACTGTCAGGAAATTTCTCCTAAGTTCTAAGTTGCTTCTCTCCTTGATTAGTTTCCACCCGTTGCTTCTTGTTCTGCCCTCAGGTGCTTTGGAGAATAGCTTGACTCCCTCTTCTTTGTGGCAGCCCCTGAGATACTGGAACACTGCTATCATGTCTCCCCTAGTCCTTCTTTTCATTAAACTAGACATACCCAGTTCCTGCAACCGTTCTTCATGTTTTAACCTCCAGTCCCCTAATCATCTTTGATACACATGATAACAGTGCTCCAGTTGCCACAAAGAAGAGGGTTAATGGTTGCATAATGGCATCGTCATGCAGATACCACCATAACATACATGCAGGGGTTGGATTCAGCTGCTTCGGGTGAACCGGTAGCTCCGACAATCAGCTGGGAGCGAACCGATTCGCTTCAACGATCAGGTGGGCCCACCCGCCCGCCCTTCCCCTGAGCTTTACTGACCTATATCCTCCCAACTGATTCGTGTGGCAGAGCGGATTGCCGTGCCTCAACTGTGTTACTCGCAAAGCGCGCTATCACTGAACCGATTGTTAAACTGGTAGGATTCCACCACTGCATAGATGCCTCCTGACATCTGATGCAGGTAGAGAAGTTGGGACATTTACATGATGACATCCGTACACATGTGTCATCATTGTCTCTCCCCCATGCGTGTCTCTGCTGTAGACACAGCCTGCAGATGACCAGAGACAAAGCAGTCCCTAATTCTGCTTTGGGGCGAGAATACAGGAAATCCTTGTTTTACAGTCATTTGTTTGAAGTTACAATGGCACTGAAAAAAGTGATTTATGACTGGTCCTCGTACTTACAACCTTTGCAGCATCCCCATGGTCACGTAATCAAAATTCAGGTTGGATGGCAACTGGCATCTACAGGGAGTCCTCGATTACGACCACAAGGGAGCCCAAAATTTATGTTGTTAAATGAGATGTTGGTTGTGTGTTTTGCCCCATTTTACGATCTTTCTTGCCACCGTTGTTAAGTGAATCACCCCAATTGATAAGTTAGTCACTCCGTTGTTAAGTGAATCTGGTTTCCTCCTTGGCTTTGCTTGTCAGAAGGTCACAAAAGGGGGATCACATGACCTTGAGACACAGCAACAGTCATAAATGTGAAGCTAAGCATCTGAATTTTGATCATGTGACCATGGGGATGCTGCCAAGGTTGTAAGTGGGAAAACCAGTCATAAGTCATTTTTTCCATACGGTTGTGACTTTGAACGGTCACTAAATGAACTGTTGTAAGTCAAGGACTAGCTGTATTTATAATGGTTGCAGTGTCCCGGGGATGCACGATCAACATCTGCGATCTTCCCAGTCAGCTTCCGACCAGCCAAGTCAATGGGGGGAAGCTGGATTTGCTTAATGATTGCGTGATTCACTTAACACAGTGATTTGCTTAACACCTCCAGCGAAAATCAGACATGACTCGCTCACTGATGGGTTTGTTTTCCTATGTTGTGCCGTCCTATGTTTGTGAAGTGGTTGTTTTGTTTCTCCAAAGTACAGATCTGCACAAGCCTCACTGCACTGTTCTGCATAGATCACATTGCTCAGTTTGTGTCTGGGTGCTTTATCCTTGGGGGGGACAAGCTTCTGCCTTTGTGTTTTCTTGAGTTTGAAGTTTGTCTGTATGCTGTGTGGGTTGAAAATCCTCCTGAGCTTTTTTAGATAGTCCTGTAACGTATGGAATGACAACTTTTTGCTTCGATTATTGCTCTCTTCTTTGTTATGGAGTCCAATTGCATTTTGAAAAAGCACCTTTGGGACAACCATGACCTGGATGACTGAGAATGTTCATAGACATTTAGACTGGTTGCCACTTATTTTCCAAATACAATTCAATATATTGGCTTCCCTCTTCAAAGTGCTCACTAATTTTAAAGCCTAAGTACCTTAGCAACCTCTCCAGACACTAAGATTGAAAATAGAACCCCTGGATATAAATTGTTTCAACTTCTACCCTCAAAATGATGTTATAGAGTGTTGCACACCAGAACAACTAGACACAAGGGCATTTTTTCTCGCATGCCATCACTCTGCTAAACAACTAATTCTCACAACACTGTCGAACTATTTACTAAGACTGTATTACTATTATTATTCTCATCATTCCTATTACCTATCTCCTTTCTACTTACGACGATAACCTTGTTGCTTGTATCTTTCCAGTTTATACTGTTTTATTTAGTTTCCTAGTACGATTTTGATTGCTTATTTAGTATCCTATGACTATCACTAAGTGTTGTATCTTAAGATTCATGATGAATGTATTTTTATGTACACTGAGAGCTTATGCACCGAAGACAAATTCCTTGTGTGTCCAATCACACTTGGCCAATAAAGAATTCTCTTCTATTCTGTCTATTTTACAAGCTCTGTTTGTCAGCAAGCAGGAGAAAGCTTCATCCTGAATTGTTTCTAAACTTGAAAATCTGTTTTCATTGCATTCAAATAAGTCAAATCCATATCATTTGGACACCTTCTGGACCAAATCTTATTCTTAAAGAAGGTTTTGAGCTTCGTCTTCTACTTTTCTCGATTTATTGGTTGATTAATTGGATTTACATCCCTCTTTCCCCCAGCAGGTCTATGGAACTCTGTAGGATTCTGCCTTCCAATTATATATCCATAAAAAAAAAGAAAAGAAAGAAACTTCAGAGGTAGGCTGGGCTGAGAAACACTGACTGGCATTAGATCATTCTTTTCTATTTTGTGCGCCGTCTCTTTGCTTCTATTTGTGTCACTGCAACTTTGATGGTTTTGCCAAGCTGGAAAGCAGGGTATAAATTAAATCAATCCATCAATAATAGGGATGCTTTTGAGAGATGCTGACAGAGAATTGCTCACATTAACAATGCTCTTTTTCCCAGAGACTTGAAAGCCCAGGCACCAACAGGCCAATTGTGCTTTTTTGCAATGCAGACACAGGGACCAGAGAGGGGCCATTTAGGCTGGCTTTTGCGGAGAAAATAATTGCAACCATTACTCAGGGTGAAAACCAGCTTCTTAGATAAAAAGTTCCTAGTTCACGGTTGTGAATAATAGAGGGTAGCTGAAAACAATTTCTGCCTTCAGACTGGAGAAATCTCTTAGCCTACGCTGACCTCATGGATTTTGATTGCATTCGCCGTTTCTTCAGAAACTTATGGACTAGAATCTTTGCACTTAAGGTGGGGGGGGGGATGTCTGTGGCTCAGGAAAGAGAATCTCTGCCTGCAGATCTTCACTAGTTCAAATGAAGATACCTCCTGTTGAAAGAATTAGTTATAGCACGTAATGTTCAGCAGGTGAGCAGGGCTGGCCAGTATTTGGATAGGAGAGAGCTGGGAAGCCCATATATAGAGTATCCTGGAAAATTGATAAACCTTCTAGAGATAGCTAGATAGGTAGGTAGATAGATATGATAGATGGATGGCTAAAGATAGATATGATGGATGGATGGATGGATGGAAGGATGGATAGAAATAATATTTATTTATTTGATTGTTTGTTTGTTTATTGATTGATCGAATTTATATTGCCACCTATTCACCGATGGCGACTCAAGGCAGCTTACAGAATAAAAACCACATTTAAAACAATAAAAACTAACAAAAAGAATCAAATAAATTAATATAGTACAATATAACAAGATCACCCCACACCCTGGCAACAGCAGATCACATGAGCCATTTAATGGGCTCCATCCTGCTCTGTGTTCCCCAGGCCCGCTGGCAGAACCAGGTCTTCAGCGCCTTCTGGAAGAGTGATAGACTAGGGGCCATTCTAATCTCTGGGGGAATGGTATTCCAGAGAGAGGGAGCCACCATGGAGAAGGCCCTTCCTCTGGGTCCTACCAGGTGTATCTCCTTCGGGGCCTGCAACATTCCCTGCCTCTCCGCTCTGATGGGTCAGGTAGATGTGACCGGCAAGAGACGGTCCCTCAGATAACTTGGTCTCAAGCCATGAAGGGATTTAAAGGTGACAACCAGCACCTTGAATTGCACCCGGAAGCAAATTGGCAACCAATGCAGCTCCCACAGGAGAGGTGATACATTTGCACACCATATAATAGATGATATATAGATGGTAGACGAGATAGATAGATGACAGAGAGAGAGATGATAGATAGATAGATAGATAGATAGATAGATAGATAGATAGATAGATAGACAGACAGACAGACATATGACAGAGAGAGATGATAGATAGATAGATAGATAGATAGATAGATAGATAGATAGATAGATAGATAGATATGATAGATAGTTATGACAGATGGATGGATGGATAGATAGATAGACAGACAGATAATAGATGACAGATAGATGGTAGATGATAGAGATAGATAGATAGATAGATAGATAGATAGATAGATAGATAGATAGATAGACAGACAGACAGACAGACAGACAGACAGACGGAGATAATAGATGATCGATGATAGATAGACAGAGATGGCAGAGAGAGAGAGACAGACAGAAAGAGAGATGATAGAGATAGATAGATGGGTGGGTGGGTGGGTGGATGGATAGGTAGGTAGGTAGGTAGGTAGGTAGATAGATAGATAGATAGATAGATAGATAGATAGATAGATAGATAGACACATATTCTGGAAGTATCTATAAAATCTGTGCAGCCCCTCTGTGCTTTTAAACTCTTTTTAAAAAGGAGATTGCATCCTGCTCAGGACATTTCAAGCAAGCAGAATCCAAATCAAATAGAAGAAACAAAAATTGAGATGTAATTTTTAAAAAACCACCAAATCCTACAAACCTTTGTAGCAGTAAGCATCGAATTTGGATGCCGGATCCGGGAAGCCAGTCCGGTTTGAGAATTGGTAGGTTGTCCTTACACCAGGTTCATCTCCGCCACATTTCTTCCGTGGGGTTCGGATTGGATAGCGCACACTTCCATCAGCCAGCCACCCTGGGTCACACTGGTCCAGCCCTTCCTGCCAGGCGAGGTATAACTGCCCCGTAGTTGCTAGATGAGCCCCTCGACTCAGGCAATGTTTCTGGGCCATCTGAAATGTCAGCCGACCGGGGCTGGTTGCATAAAACACTTTTCCTGAAATCACGGGAAAAACATCACTCTGTTAAACAAATAATTCCCTCAACACTGTCAAACTAGTTACTAAGTCTGCGTTACTATTAATCTCCTCATCGTTCCTATCACCCATCTCCTCCCACTTATGACTGCATGACTGTAATTTGTTGCTATATCCTTACGATTTATATTGATTGTTTCCTAGTATGATTTGATTGCTTATTTGTACCCCATGACTATAATTGAGTGTTGAACCTTATGATTCTTGACTAATGCATCTTCTCTTTTTATGTACACTGACAGCGTACCAGCGCACCAAAGACAAATTCCTTGTGTATCCAATCACACTTGGCCAATAAAGTATTCTAATCTAATCAATTGTGGTCGTAAATCGAGGACTTCCTGTAAAGCAAGTTCAACTTGTTGCCGGACAGAAAAAAGTATTTTTTTCAAGTACTTTTCAAAGAGGTTCCCTCGGCTCTGGTTGTTTAGGTTAAATCTGTCTTTATTCTTGGTCTGTTCAGCTTCAAAGAGGCATCTGGGTGTTAAGGGATGGGGAAAAAACTTCATTACTTAAGGAACAAAGCCCAGTGAAGATAAGTTGCCCAGCCTTCTTCTCTCCAGAAACAGACGAGAGAAAAGTAGCTAAGCGGCAGGCTGATTTATCAAAGCAATCCTGTCTTTCTGAACTTCCCCTCAAGGCTCTCGGGAGACAGAACAACAGTTTTGATGGCCTCCTCTTTCATTTCATGAGGAACATTTTCCGCCCAAATTGGCCGCGTCTGTTCCTTTGGATGGAAGAAGCAAGAGAGGTCGATGCAACAACAATCCTTCAGGATTCACTGTTGGTCAACGTGTGGGTTTGCGTGTCAGTGTCACCTGTTTTCAAACAAAGCTCGAGCACCATTTATCAGCCCGCCACAGACATTTTGGGGATTGTAAATTTGCCTGCTGGCATCTCGGGATCCCGAACAATAGTGAGAAGATCCAATTTCAGGTTTGAAAACGTGATTGATCGGTGGTAAATAAAGAAAGGCTCAATGGCAAATCAATCCACTAATGTTGCATTAAATAGGGAGAACAAATGATAATTGCCAGGGAAGTGGATTAAGGACATCTTGCACTGAGTTTGAATTTTTTTCTTTTTTTTTACAGCTTTTCTTTTCAAATGTGTTCCTGAATCCTGTTATCATTATATTTCACGAACAGCTTTTGTTTGCTGATTTCATTCCCCCTGGAGCATGTTTTTTTCAAGATTTGAAGTTTTGGTGACATGTACAAGAATCAACATTTAAATCAGGGGGTTACATGAAAGAGCAGCTGATGATTCTGGAGCTTCAACTTCATTTTATTTCCAGACCTTATTTGTTTTTGGTTTTTTAAGTTTTGATTCCAAGGATTTTGTTTTTAGTTTTAAAGCTCACATTTTTGGTTTTCAAGCTGCCTCTCTGTTTTCCCCATCAACTTCTTCCCATTTCATCCTAAGGACATTCTCTTCTTCCTACTCTTTTCCCCTCCTTCATGTCCTCTCTCTGCTTTTCTTCTTTTCTCTCTTCGCTTCCCTCTCATCTTCATTCCCTTCTATGTCTGCTTCTCTCTCTCCATCTTCCTTTCTTCTTCCTCTTCCTCATTTCCTCCCCCTCCCCAATTCTCTGTTCTCCATCAACTGCTTCCTGCTTTTCTTTCTCTTTATGGTCTTCTTTTCTTCCCTCTCTATATCCCATCTTCTGTTCAGCTTCTCTCTCTCTCGTCTTTTAACCAACCCTCCTTCCTTATTCATTGCTCGTTGGACAAAGGGTACTTGGCTAAAACTATTACCCGTGTTTCCCTGAAAATAAGACAGGATCTTATTTTCTTTTGACCCCCGAAATAAGCACTTGGCCTTATTTTCGGGGAGGTCTTATTATTTTTGAGGTGCAGGAGGCAGCGAGCGTGGTCACCTCATGGCTGCTGTTGTGTTGCGCTGCTGCTAGGATTGTGGGAGCGGCCGTTAGGTAAGGGTGTGTGGAGTGCGTGGGGCATGTTCCCCCTTCCTTTCCCCCCTTCCAGCCTCGCCTCCTCACTTCGTGTTGTTTACACAGCCACTCGTCAGCTGTTTGCCCCTGCGGCGGTAGATGAGGAGTGGGGCCTGCCGCTCTTTTTGCGGCGGCCATTAGTGTGACAGAAGGGGCGTGGTGGCTAGGATTGCAGGAGCGGCCGTTACTGGTAGGTAAGGGCGTGTGGGGCACATGGGGCAAACAGCGAGGAAGTCCAGCAATGGGTGGGCCGCATCACTGGACCTCCTGCTGCTTTTGCAGCTGCAAAAGCAGCCACGGTTGCTGGAGGTGGCGGTAGGTGAGGAGTGGGGTGCGAGGCGTGACAGAAAGAGCGCGGTGGCTAGGATTGCGGGAGCGTGTGGGGTGCGTGGGGCATGTTCCCCCTCCCTTCCTCCCCCAGCCTTGCCGCCTCACCTCATGTTGTTTACATAATAATAATAATAATAATAATAATAATTTTATTTCTATACCGCCCTTCTCCCGAAGGACTCAGGGCGGTGTACAGCCTACTCTGGCAAGCAACCAGAGGAAATGGCGGGGACTGGCTGTGCATGCATTTAAATATTTGGGGGGAGGCTTATTTTCAGGCAGGGCTTATTTTTGCGCATGCGCTCAAAAGCCCGATTGGACTTATTATCTGGGGAGATCTTATTTTCGGGGAAACACAGTATTTCTCATCTCTGAAGCACCAGCCAACCCAGGGTTTCTTCTACACCATCAGCGTTAATGGCTGGATTTTCTAGAAGAGAATGCGGTGGCCACCTGGTCAGAAACCTAGTCCATCTTAGGTCTATTTCTATTGCTGAAGCAACATTCGAATCTCTGTCAAAATGGCCAGACAGATCTTTGTATTAAGCTAGCCAGGATAGGCACCCTGCGGGAAGCCAAATACTTGCTTCGGGCCAGCATCAAACCCAGTTTTGAATGGAACTTCATTCCTTGTCCCCTTCTAAGTTTTAGTTAACTGTAATTTCCCAAGGATCTGGGATTTCTCATTTGTTTATGTTCCTCTGTAAACACAAACAAGGGATGTACACAAGATATGTGAGGAATGGATTCAGCAACTTGCTTAAGCCAACACCTTTTGGGTTTAGGCAGGACTGGGACAGAAGGAACTCCATTTTGTAACACAAGTGATGCTCAATTGGGTTATTCAAGATCAAGCCAGCCCCAGCTCTTTCCTAACAATCGCCAACAAGAGTTTCTAAGGAGCCTCTAAGAGAGTGGCATTTCATTTGCTTCTGGCAGGTATCATTCAATCAACAGCCATCTGCTCCAAATAGGTCCTTGAAGTCCATTTCACCGCTTCCCAGAATGACCAATAAAATGTCTCCGAGAAGCCTCAATAGCCTGTCCTACTAGAGCTGCTAGAAAGTGGCTTTTAGAGGCAGATTAATAAATAGGGAGCAAAATGTATGATAAAACCCCTTTCCAGTTTTGGAAAAACAGCATGGGGTGATTTCCATGAAAAATATTTGAGGTTTATTCAGCTCTGTGTTTTAGCTGAGCTTAGAACGTGCAGAAGGGACGCGGTGGCTCAGTGGGTAAGACGCTGGGTTTGTCGATCGAAAGGTCGGCAGTTCAGCAGTTCGAATCCCTAGCGCCGTGTAACGGGGTGAGCTCCCGTTACTTGTCCCAGCTTCTGCCAACCTAGCAGTTCGAAAGCATGTAAAAAATGCAAGTAGAAAAATAGGGACCACTTTGGTGGGAAGGTAACAGCGTTCCGTGCGCCTTTGGCGTTGAGTCATGCCGGCCACATGACCACAGAGACGTCTTCGGACTGCGCTGGCTCTTCGGCTTTGAAACAGAGATGAGCACCGCCCCATAGAGTCGGGAACGACTAGCACATATATGCGAGGGGAACCTTTACCTTTACCTTAGAACGCGCAAATTCAAACAGTATAGGTAGTCCTCAATTTACGTCCTGTTATGACAGACTTCCCTGGGGATAGTTACAAGCAGTTCCAAAGGTCTGATGGCCACTATCCTCATAGTCAGATAACCACATGTTGGGTGCTCAGCAAACGGCCCACATTGATGGCTGTTTGCAGTGAGGAGTCATGTGTGACCACATGTTACAACATTGTTGCCGAAAAACCAGCATTAACTTCTGCTTTTCAGCAAAAAAAAAACATTGGCTTGCTTAATGACTGCTGCAAAAAAGGTCATAAGATTGGATCAGTCACCCAGGTGACCTGATTTATCACCATCACAACTTATAACCGTGATGAGCTGGCTCCAATATGGTCATAATTTAAGGACTAATTGTAGGGCTAAAGAGATAAACCAAAAGAGGCAACTGGATTTTAAAAGCTGTAAGCATTTGCATTTATATTTGCATTTCTGCAATCTTCAAAGCGTTCCTTTTGGATGGAAACCTAAAACTCCCCAACCCTAATAATTAAATCAACAAAATTTAATGAATTTAATGGAAATGAAACTCAGTTAATTCAATTGGGGTTTTTTCCCCCTCCTAGTTCCACTCACTTTTTAGTCTCTCCCTTCCTACCTTTTAGCAGACAGCCTGTGGCCTCCTAATTCGGGGAATTAGTTTTACATGTTTTATGCATTTTCTGCCTAAATTCCATCCATTGGAGTTCAGGGACTACGAAGTCAGAAATACGGAAAACATTCCAAATTCACAATATTTCAAGCTTGAAATGCCCTATTTCACAGTCAAAAAGAATGATTGAGAATTTAAAATACTGATTTCAATTGTGCTGGAAGTGATCTGGTACCATTCCAACCATACCAGAAAAATCAACGGGAAAACCAGATTCATTTAACAATGGGGTTACTAACTTATCAACTGCAGCGATTCACTTAACAACTATGGCAAGAAGGGTCGTAAAGTGAGGCAAAATTCACATGACAAATGTCTAACTTAACAACAGAAATGTTGGGCTCAATTATGGTCATAAGTCGAGGACTATCTGTACTGATTCCAGTTGTGCAGGAATTGGTCTAATACCATTCCAAACATGCCAGAAAAGTTCTGAACTTGAAAATGAACCATTTAGAGCCTTGTAGCTGTTCTCAAAAGAGTATGCGTGGTCCTCGATTTACAACCATTCATTTACTGACCGTTCAAAGTTACAACAGCACTGAAAAAAGGGACAACCGTTTTGCACACGTACAAATGTTGCAGCATCCCCATCATCACGTGATCAAAATTCAGATGCTTGGCAACTGGTTCACATGTATGACCATTGCTGTGTCCCAAGGTCATGTGTTCCCCTTTCGCGACCTTCTGACAAGCAAAATCCATGGGGAAGCCAAATTCACTTAACAACTGTGTTACTCACTTAACAACTGCAGTGCTTCACTTAACAACTGGGGCAAGAAAGGCCGTAACCTGAAGCAAAAACACACTTAACAATTGTTTCGCTTCGCAACTGAAAATTTTGGACTCGATTGTGGTCATAAATTGAGGAACACCTGTAGTGGAATATTTGCAGGAAGATCAGAATCCCTGTTTTTAATCCCGAACAGGGGATTCCAAGTGAGAGATCTTTTCGGCTCTGTTACACAATCCTACACCAGTGGTGGGTTCTGCCCGGTTCGGACGAGTCGGTAGCGGTGACAATATGACGTCACCGAATCGGTTCTCTTCATTCGGGAGCTGGGCCCTCCCGCCGCCCCCGTGTTATTCTTACCTTTTATTTGGCCCCACCCCCAATCTATTGCTGCCTCCAGAGTCCCAGCTGATCGGCTAGAAGGAAAAAAACTCTTGCCCTTCAAAGGGCCGCCCTACAGCTGATCAGTGTTAAAAGGCAGTGTGGTGGTAGACCGGGGCCTCCAAAAATGAATGAGTAGACTGGGGCCTCCAAAAACAAATGGGTAAACCGGTACAGCTCTGCAAGCAGTTAAAAGCCTGGTAGACCAGTACCTCTGCTAAATCCTAAAGAATTGTCACAAGCCACGCCCACAAAATAAGCCACGCCCACAGAACCGGTAGTAAAAAAAATTAGAACCCACCCCTGTCCTACACAGGTTCCAAATCCATTGGTGCACCAAGCACAACATTCTCTTTCCCCCCCCCAAAAAAAACCAACCATGCATTTTGCCCGTGGAAAGAGTTCAGCAAATACAGTATATTCTGCTCATAACTTGCCTTGGAGTTCTCTGGAGTAGCAGTAGACATCGTATGCTTCGCTGACATCTCTCTTGCCATAGCTGCGGACTCCTGGGAGGCTGTTGCGATCTCCATAGCAACCAGGTCTTGACAGGGTGATGGGATACCTGTATGAAAACAGGGGTGGGGGGGAGAGAGAGAGATGCAGCTGCTTTAAACTCCATCACTAAAGGCTTCTTTCAAGCATGAAGGAAAGCCATACCGTAAACACTTCAGGAAAAGCATGGAAGGGTTTAAAGGACAACAACAACAACAACAACAACAACAACAACAACAACAACAATAATAATAATAATAATTGGAGCCCTTGGAGCAATACCCAAAGGGCTACCCCACTATTTAGAAATTCTAAATTTGCCGGACTTGAACATTTTGACTCTACAAAAAACCACCTTACTCGGAACAGCTTACATCCTCCGACGATACCTTAACAGTTCCTAGGTCCTTGGTTAGGACTCGAGCTGCTAAGCTATTAACTAATCTCAAAGGCTGTGAATCTCACTAAAGATTAAATAATAATAATAATAATAATAATAATAATAATAATAATAATAATAAGAATAAGAAGAAGAAGAAGAAGAAGAAGAAGAAGAAGAAGAAGAAGAAGAAGTTGCAGCTTCCTGCAATAACACCAGCGGAACTGCAAAAAACTGCGCTACTCGGAACATCATATATTTTAAGAAGACACTTGCTTGATACCTAGGATGCTGGCAGCAACCCGTATCAATCATTAGCACCAGTCAATGGTATTTGTGATGCATTTTTAAATATTCAGTTGACTGAGTTTCATATTTAATGGATAAAAGAGATAATAATAATAATAATAACAACAACAACCTTTATTGTCATTGTACATATAAACAACGAAATTGATTTAGCCTCTACTGGTGCAATCCATAACAAAATACAAAGCAACATGAATAATAATAGAAAATGGTCCTTATACAGGTAATTAGGGAGAAACCAGTCATATGTTTCCAGGTATGTGTCGATCCTTGAGGTTCTGGAAAGAGTGCAGAGAAGAGCAACAAAGATGATTAGGGGGCTGGAGGCTAAAACATATGAATGGTTGCAGGAATTGGGTATTTCTACCAGTCTAGGGAAAAGAAGATTTAGGGGGTGACGTGATAGCAATGTTCCAATATTTGAGGGGCTGCCACAAAGATGAAGAGGTCAAACTGTTTTCCAAAGTACCTGAAGGCAAGACAAAAAACAATGGATGGAAACTAATCAAGGACAGAAACCACCTAAAACTAAGGAGAAATTTGACTGACAGTGAGAACAATCAAAGCAATGGAATGGGTTGCCTTCAGAGGTTGTGGGTGCCCCAATATTGGAGGCTTTCAAGAAGAGACTGGAAAACTGTTTGTCTGAAATGATATAGGGTAGTGATGGCTAACCTTTTCCAGACCGAGTGCCCAAAGCGCGTGCCCAAATCCCCAGAATGCAATGCGTGCGTGGCCCCCAAGCACTTGCCCACCCCCATGCATATGTACCCCTGCATGCACCCCCGCATGCGTGCCCCCTGCATGTGTGCCTGCACGCACATGCGTGCGCAACCCCCTGCATGTGCCCACCCTGTGCATGCGTGCGCACTCCCCACATGTGCGGTAGAGACCTGAAGACCAACTGGCCGACAGAAGGTACATGCGCATACGCGGCAGAGCTGAACTAGGGCGACGGCTTGCATGGCCCCAGAGAGGGCTTTGCGTGCCACCTCTGGCACGCGTGCCATAGGTTCGCCATCATGGATATAGGGTGACCTGCTTGAACAGGGGGTTGAACTAGATGACTTCCAAGGTTGCTTCCCATTCTATTCCTATTCTATTCTATTCTATTCTATTCTATTCTATTCTATTCTATTCTATTCTATTCTATTCTATTCTATTCTATTTTCTATTCTATTCTATATTCTATTCTATATTCTATTCTATTCTATTCTCAATTCTATTATATTTTCTATATACTATTCTATTTTATTATCTATATTCTATTTTCTATTCTATGCTATGCTATGCTATTTTCTATATACTATTCCATTCTATTTTCTCTATTCTATTCTCCATTCTATTCTATTTTCTCTATACTATTCTATTCTATTTTCTATTCTATTCTACTCTACTCTACTCTATTCTATTCTCCATTCTATTCTATTTTCTCTATACTATTCTATTCTATTTTCTATATTCTATTCTATTCTATTCTATTCTTTCTACTCTACTCTATTCTCCATTCTATTCTATTCTATTCTATTCTATTCTATTCTATTCTAGTCTAGTCTAGTCTAGTCTAGTCTAGTCTAGTCTAGTCTAGTCTAGTCTTTTCTATTTTCTATATTCTATGCTATGCTATGCTATGCTATGCTACTCTACTCTACTCTAGTCTTCAAGGTAATGTAATGGCAATGAGGAAGACCATTGCTATTTCGAAGAGTTTAGTGACATGTGTTGATTTCTCCTAGTAACAAAAGTCTAGGAGTTTAGAGCTTATTCTGAGCTAGCCTGCTTGTTTGTTTTTTCTAACGCTGGCTTACTGACTAAAGGAGACGGTGCGTGGGTGGGATCTTGACATAGCTTCAAAGCGTTTCCCGTTCTGAAAGTTTCAGACTTTCAATCCCCATCCCAGAGTCATGTGCCATCCAGTCAAGGTCAGGAGGCTCCTGACCATAGCAGGGTGACAAAGGCATGGTGCCAAGTTTTAGATAAAAACCATGGGGTAGTTGATGTATGTCGGGAGTTTCTGCACAGAACCTACAAGCATTAGGTAATGTGGAAACTGGCCATCCATGGGGTCCGTCTGCTGTTGTTATTAAGGAGCTTCTGGCAGCTTGTAAGAGATTTGGGTATCATATTTGGGTACTTACGAGACCGCCTTCTGCCACCAATAGCCTCTCACCGCCCAGTACGCTCCCATAGAGAGGGGCTTCTCAGGGTGCCGTCAGCCAAACAGTGTCGACTGGCGGCCCCCAGGGGGAGAGTCTTTTCTGTGAGGGCACCCACCATCTGGAACGAGCTCTCCCCAGAGATACAGAAGATTCCGGATCTGCGCACTTTCCGCCGTGCCCTCAAAACATTCCTATTTCAGCAGGCCGGCCTGGCCTAACTTTCCGTTTATATTGCTTTTTGATTTTATTTTAAACTGGGATGTCTTGAATTATCTAGGACCAGAGTGTTTAGTATATTTTAATTGGTTTTTTTAACGTTTGTATTACATGTATTTTTATCGTTCGCTGTTCACCGCCCTGAGTCCCTCAGGAATAGGGCGGTATATAAATTTAATAAATAAATAAATAAATAAAATATTGTTTGATATGTATGCTTTTTTATGTTATGCTATGCTTGCTTGACCTAACCCAGGTAGTCCTTGACTTACAAGCATTTAGTGGCCGTTCAAAGTTACAACGGCACTGAAAAAAGTGATTTATGATTGTTTTTCACACTTACGACCCTTTGCGGCATCCCCATGATCATGTGATCAAAATTCAGACACTTGGCAACTGTCTCATGTTTATGACCGTTGCCACATCCCGGGGTCATGCGATCCGTCTTTTTATTGCAACCTTCCGACAAGCAAAATCAACGGGGAAGCCAGATCCCCTTAACAAGCACGTCACTAACTTAACAACTGCAGTGATTCACTTCAGAATCATGAAAAGAAAGGTCATAAAATGGGTCGAAAACACTTAACAAATGCTCAGTTAGCTGCATAAATTTTGGGCACAATTGTAGTCATAATTCAAAGCATAATAAAATTTAAAGTCCTTTCATTTGCTGGAGCAGTCATTGTTTCTGGATATAAAAGAACCAACTGGGCACCCAAACAGTGGATTAACATCTGGCAAAACAGGCACGCTAAGTTAAGAAACAAACATAGCCAGGATTTTGCTATTTTATTTGTGCAAGGCAGGGGTGGGTTCTAATTTTTTTTTTACTACCGGTTCTGTGGGCGTGGCTTATTTTGTGGGCGTGGTTTGATGGTCATGTGACAAGCAATTCTTTAGGATTTAGCAGAGGTACTGGTCTACCAGGCTTTTAACTGCTTGCAGAGCTGTACCGGTCTACCTATTTGTCTTTGGAGTGCACCAATCTACCCATTTGTTTTTTGAGCGCACTGGTCTACCACCACACTGCCTTTTACCGCTGATCAGCTGTAGGGCGGCCCTTTGAAGTGCTGCGGCAAGAGTTTAAACAGTTTTTTGCTGCTCTGCCACCACCGAGAGCATCGGAAACCGCTTTCAGGCAGCTTGGCCTCAATTGCCAATCTACCACCACCGAGCGGTTTACAAGGAGCGGATCGGTTCTAGCCAATCAGTTGGGAGGCTTCTTGGCTTCCCAATTTAAAGCTACGGTGTCTTGTTTTTTTCCCCCCTCTTCTTTCTCAAGTGAGCCCTGATTTTTTCCTTCTAGCCGATCAGCTGGGAGGCAGCGAATAGATTGGGGGCGGGGCCAGGCAGAGGTGGTATTTACCGCTTCTCCGAACGACTCAAAATTTCCACTACCGGTTCGCAAGAACCGGGGAGAACCGGTAGCAACCCACCACTGGATGGGGGGCAATTCATTTTCCCAAGGGGCAACATGAGAAACTGGGAATGTTGTGGAGGACCGAGTTAATAAGGCTGTGAAAGTGTGTAAGCATGCACACATGCACATACATACATTGAAAGAACAATAGTCACCTTCAGAAGAAAAGCCATGCAATTGTACTGAGAGTCCTCGATTTACAACAGTTCATTTAGTGACCATTCAAAGTTACAACAACACTGAAAAAAGTGACTTATGACCGTTTTTCACACATAAGACCATTACAGCCTCTCCATGGTCACATGATCAAAATTCAGATGCTTGGAAATCAACTCATCTTTATGACAGTTACACTGTCCCGGGGTCATGTGATCACCTTTTGCGACCTTCCAACAAGCAAAGTCAATGGGGAAACCGGATTCACTTAACAACCGTGTTACTAACTTAACAATTGCAGTGATTCACTTAACAACTGTGTCAAGAAAGATTGCAAAATGGGGCCAAATTCACTTGACCGTCTCGTTTAGTAATGGAAATTTTGGGCTCCATTGCGGTCGTAAACCAAGGACTACCTGTATTGCTTGCGTGATGTACGTTTATTTACATTTGATTTCTAATTTCCGACTGAGCTCATGAGAGCCTGGACAAAGACAGCCAAAGGACCAGATGTTGGCTGGGGATCGTAAAATGCCTCTGACCTCACTTAATTCGCGCCTTGACTCTGACCCTGTTTCCCCCTTCCCCCAAGGTATGTCATCAGTCACATTCCCCAACGAAGCAATTTCGCGGGTTGTAGAAGTCACTCCCTCCGGTCACTGTTGGTCACTCTGGAGATGACCATGATGTTGCTGGCTGGAATGTGCTTTGTTTTGACTGAAATGCAAGTTCCTTGATGCAGCTGCGAGGTTTGATTCCCCATCCCGCTGCCTATGGCAACTCAAGAGCAAATCAGGAATGCTTTGCGATTTGACACTTGCTCTGTTGAAGAACAAAATTCAAGGCACAGCTGTTCTGTGTCTTTTTTCCCCCCACACTTCCTCCTTTTCCAGAGCTGATTTTTTTCTTCTCCCACCTTTGTCTCAAGACCAGACCTGAATTCTTCTGCAAAAGGACCCCAGTGGCAAACTGCCCTTCTCACCTTCAACACGCCTTGTCACGAATTGTCAAGTGTCTTTCTACTAATCTGCATCTTCAAAATAGCAACCCCCGAATCGGGGCTCTTGCAGTGAGCAACGAGCGATTTTCCCCCGGTTCAGTTCTTTTATTGCTCTTTTGTGCCGTTCTGCTCAATTCACTTCTCTTCCCTAATTCCAATTTAACTAGGAGAATTTATAAAATTAATTCCAGTATTGGGTGTTCTATATGGTCTTTTTTGCCGCTTAGTTACTCCTATTCAGTAGCAACTTCCAGGGATTCCCTCTCTCCATTACAGATGATTGCAGGCGCGTTGATAAAATAATACAGGGTACCAGGAGGAGAGAGGAGAAGCAAAGTTCCTGTGTTCGTGCAGACAATTGCAACAAGGTTTTTTTGCGTGCAGAGAATGTCGCTGCACAATGGGAAAGGGACGCATCAAAAGAACTGATAATCCAACTGATATATCTGAAGGATGTAGACCAGGGGTGTCAAACTCGATTTCACTGAGGACCGCATCAGGGTTGTATTTGACCTCAGGGGGCCCGGGTGGGCGTGGCCAGGGTGGGCACGACCAGCTTGACATCATTCGTGTTGAGGGCGCCTGTGGTGGCCGAGCACTCTGCCAGCAAAAATGGGCTCCCGAGCTCCGTTTTTGGCTGCAACGGCCTCCTGCAACACTCTACCAGTGAAAACGAAGCTTGCATGGCCCTCCCAAGCTCCATTTTCGCTGACAGAGACACCGTGGGCCGATCCTTCGCTGTTTCCAGGGTGGCCCCGTGGGCCAGATCTAACCACCCTGAGGGCCGGATCCAGCCCGCGGGCCTTGTGTTTGACACCCCTGATGTAGACAGTAGAATAACTGCCATTCTAATGCACTGGCCAACATTTATAGTCTGGTTGTTGCTGAACTATAATTCCCAGCACGCCTCCTGTTTGGCCCTGCAGGTAAGTATTGCGGGGACCCTGAAGTTCATTGACATTTGGAAGGCCACGGATTACCTGCTAGGGGGATATATAGGGATTGTGGTTGGACTGAAAGTAGTGTCTTGCTTTGGGTCCATATGTGTGAAATTGCAAATTCAAAAGTTGAAGTTCATAGCATGCTGTACAGGTAGTCCTTGACTTACAACTAGAATGAAGCCCAAAATTTTTGTTGCTAAGCGAGACATTTGTTACGCGAATTTTACAGCTTAGTTATCACTCAAAGTTCTGACAGACCTCCCCGGGGGGGGGGGCACTTGCAACCCAGTTCTAAAGTTTCAATACCATCACATGACTGCATTTCAGGTGCTCAAAAACTGGCCTGCATTTATGGCCATTTGCAATGTCACATCCTTGCCAAAAATTGGCAATTACATTTACTTCCAATTTTCAGCAAGACTGACCTGTAATAAATAATTGGTTGCCTTAAAAACTGTGGCGTTTCCTTGAAATCCACCAGAAAAAAAGATAATAAATTCAGGTTAGTCACAATGATGTCCCATTTTACCATTGTTATGACTTACGACTGAAATGGCGGGCTCCGTTATGGTCATAAGTGGAGGTTTACCTGTAGGTTTAGGTCAAGGCAACCTAAAGTCCTATTAGTTTAGCCTGCAATTATATTTCGCTGCAATAAAATCATCAAAATATACCTGAGCACAACTTTAGCAGTGTAACATTTGGAAATTCACCAAATTTGCTGTACGGAAGTCATCTCCTCTTTTTTCTTGGAAGGAAAAAAAAAATCCAGAACAAAAGCAGATTTCATCTGGTATTACCGTAATTCAGAGCAGAAAAATTGGATCAGCCCCTCCTGAAACAAGCGAGTTAGACTGTACATTCTTCCACGTACCTAACGGTGTGGTCGGAGAGCCATCCAGCATCACAGTTGTCATAGCCATCCTCAAAGGCCACCTCAAGGTGAGCAGGAGAAGCAACCACAGCCGAGTTCTCTTCGCAGGCCTTCTGCGCCTCTGAGAAAGTCAAAGCGTAGCGGTTGCTAGCCGCTCGGTAGTGAAAAACCACACCTAGGTAAGGTTGAAAAGTGAGAAGACAAGGAGATGTGAATTAGAATAGAATAGAATAGAATAGAATAGAATAGAATAGAATAGAATAGGAAGGGACCTTTGAGGTCTTCTAGTCCAGCCCCCTGCTTAAGCAGGAGACCCTATACCAGTGATGGCTAACCTTTTTGCCATCGCATGCCAGGAGGGAGTGGCGGGGGGGGGGGGTCGCGTGCGCACGTGCCCACACCCATAATTCTATGCGCCCCGCCCCCATGCATGCGCGTGCAACCGCCCCACGCTCCCCACGCTCCTGGCACGCAATGGTCCAGTGGGCCTGTTTTTCTCTCTCACCAGACTCCAGGGCCTTTCTAGGAGTCTGGGGAGGGCAAAAACGGCCTCTCCCCCCCCCCCGAAGGCCCGTTTGCCCACTTCCAGTGGGACCGGAAGGCCCGTTTTTTGTTGTCCCCAGCCTCCAGAGCCTTTCTAGGAGTCTGGGGAGGGCGAAAACAGCCCGCTGCCGGTCCACTTCTTCTGCAGCCGCTTGTTGCGGTTTGCAAGCTTCGCTCCCAGCCTCTGTTTCACTGTCAGAGAAGGAAAGGCCTCTGACAGTGAAATGAGGCCATGGGGCGCAGTGTGCGTCAATCCGGAGCCCGTTTCTTGGCTGCAGAAGCCTTTCCTGAAGGCCTCTGACAACAAAACGGAGGTCAGGGGTGACGCGCACAAGCGGCGACAAGCAGCCACAGAAGAAGTGGGCCAGCAAGGCAAGGAAGGTGTCAGGGCACGCGAGGCCTGGCTGCAACTGTCCGAAGGTAAGTAGGGCAGCTCCACCACCACCTGTCCCCAACCTAGCTTGATTTTTACCCAAGTGTCTTGCCTTGGACACACATGTAAAAATCAAGCTAGGGCTTATTTTTGGATAGGTCTTATTTCTGGGACACATGGTAGATTCCAGATTTTAGACTGAGGATAGGGGCATATAGACAGTCATTAACAGGTAGCGCCAGTTTGGTAGGATGGTTAAAGGCACCAGACTAGAAACTGGGAGACTGGGAGTTCTAGCCTAGACTTGGAAACAACACCTGCTGGATGAATTTTGACTCATGACTTTCAGCTCAGCTTGCCAAGAAAAATGCAGGGACTTTCCAAGCAGTTGTCAGGAGTAAAAGAAAAAAGAAAATGACTTTCAAGTGTGAAAAAAACAAACAGATAGAGCAGCACTTAATCAATCTTGGCTGACAAAAACAGATAGAGGGTGTCTAACTGTCCTTGGTTGATCTCTAAAGCTAAGCAGGGTCAACCGTGGTAAGTTCTTGGATGGGAGAGTGCCTGCCTAAATGGGAAATTAAATTCTTGGAAAAAGGCTAGGTCAAACCACTTCTGGGCTGCAATGTTGCTAGAATATTTGTGATGGAGGCAATCGCGCAACTCAAGGGCATCTTCTCCTCTCCTTTTAATAAAAAGTATTGTGAAATACAACCTTTGATGATTGCTGTCTGAATTCTTTCCGAAGGAGCTCTTGCACACTGATTGAGTGCAGCACAACCTTCTCCCTCCTTCCTTTTTTTTCCCTTTTGTGTCATGTCTCTTACTTAGAAAGCTCCGTGATACAGGTTGTCAAATTATTGAACTTCGTAAACCACCATGATGTCCTTTAATTAGCATACAAAGGAGGCTCAAAGTCTATGTGCAATCACAACCGGATTGGGTTTTTTTTGTAGTCTTTCATTAACGCACACCTACACACCCCTTTGATATAAAAGCAAGGGAGGAATACAATTAAACCAATGGGAACGAAAGCTAAGGCTGAATTGTTTCTCACAATGCCCTGTATCAAATTCAAATCGAGGTTCTGTTTTTCGCCGTGACGGCCTCCCTTTTCACTGGCAGAGTGCTGCAGGAGTCCCTCACGGCCGAAAACAGAGCCCGGAAGAGCTGCGAGCAGCCCTCCCGAGCTCCGTTTTCACTGGCAGAGGGCTGCAGGAGGCTCTCACAGCTGAAAACAGAGTCCGGAAGAGCTGGGAGCAGCCCTCCCGAGCTCTGTTTTCACTGGCAGAGGGCTGCAGGAGGCTCTCACAGCCGAAAACAGAGCCCGGAAGAGCTGGGAGCAGCCCTCCCGAGCTCCGTTTTCACTGACAGAGGGCTGCAAGAGGCTCTCAAGCCGAAAACAGAGCCCGGAAGAGCTGGGAGCAGCCCTCCCGAGCTCCGTTTTCACTGGCAGAGGGCTGCAGGAGGCCCTCACAGCCGAAAACAGACCCCGGAAGAGCTGGAAGCAGCCCTCCCGAGCTCCGTTTTCACTGGCAGAGGGCTGCAGGAGGCCATCATGGCCGAAAACAGAGCCCGGGAGGGCCATGTGCGTCCCTCACGGGCTCCCTTTTCACTGACAGAGGGCTGCAGGAGGCCCTCACAGCTGAAAACAGAGCCTAGGAGGGCCGAATGTGGCCCTCCCGAGCTCTGTTTTCGCTGGCAGAGACACTGTAGGCTGGTCGTTCGCTGTTTCCAAGGCGGGCCCGCGGGCCAGATCTAAGCACCCTGAGGGCCGGATCCGGCCCACAAACTTTGAGTCTGACACCACTGAACAAACTGCTTCGGCCTGCCAACTCCATAAATGTATGCTGAAGGAACCGGCATTAAATCAGGAAGAATTTCATAGCATCTTTTAAGAGCCAGAAATATTTCTCAAAAGACAAAAGGCATTTCGGATGAAATGAGTTGTGGCTCTCGAAAGCTTCTGCCTTTTGGGAAAAAAAAACAACGTTTAGTTGAAAAAGTGCCCCCATACAGGCGGTCCTCGACTCACAACCATTCGTGCAGTGACTGTTCAAAGTGACGTGCAATCATTTTTCTCACTTACGATGGTTGCACCATCCCCAATCATCGCATGATTAAAATTCAAACGCTTGACATCTGGCTCATATTTATGGACGGTTGCAGTATGTTGGGATCCCTTTTGCGACCTTCTGACAAACCAAGTCAATGGGGAAAGCCAGATTCACTTAACTGTGCCACTTCAACTGTGGCAAGAAAGGTCGTAAAATGGAGCAAAACTCACTTAACAAATGTCTCGCTTAGCAACATAAATTTTGGTCTTGGTTGTGGTCGTAAATCGAGGACTATCTCTATATGGCATTAATGCAATGCTTCCCAATTTTTTTCCCTTTATTATCCAAAATTGCTTATCAGAAAGTTTTAAACTTCAAGGACTGATTGCAAGGCCTTTCCTTCAGCACCTCTGTAGCTTTGACTGGTTGCTGAATGAATGTTCGTAACTTGAGGACTACCTGTATTATAAAAACCCTATCACTGAATGATAAGGTTATGTTATTTCAACAAATTATCATTGGTAATTTCATCGGTTTTCATCTTCGTGGGAATCCTTTGGGGGGGATATTTGAATGTATTTTAGTACATGTG